TCTGCTTATCTTTCCTGCTCTCTGGGTGCCGGGTCTGCTTCTCGTCTCTCTCTCATCTCCTCGTCTCTCTCTCTCTCGTGTCTCTCAGGCCTCTCTCATGCCTCGGCTCTCTCATGCCGTCGCTCTCTCTGTCTCTTCCCCTCCTCGCTCTCTCTCTCTCTCTCTGCTCTCCCTCTATTTTCTCTCTCTAAATCGTATCATTTCTCTCTCTCTCACGCTCTTCTCTCATCTCATCTCTCTCTCTCTCTCTATCTGTATCTTTCTCTCTCCTTCTATCATTTTTTTTTTCCGTCTCCTCTCTTTCTCAGTCCGCTCTCCCCCGCCGTTTACCGTCTCTCTCTCTCCCATAACCAGCCTCTCTCACTGACTCGTCTACTCTATCTTCCGTTCCTCAATCATCTTTCTCTCTCTGCACTCCCTGTCTCTCTCTTTCATTATCTGAGCCAATATCTTACTTCCTTCCTCAAGATCGTCCAGCGGGCGCTCCCCGCCCACCCTCCTGCCCTCTCTTCGTCCTCTCTCGACTCTCTCTCTCTCCCTCGCTCGCGTCTCTCTCTACCCTCTCTCTTCTCTCATCTCTCCTCGTCCGATCTCTCTATCACCCATCTCTTTGCCCCTCTCTTTCCTCCCTCCTCTCTCTCTCTCGCTCGGGGGCGTCTCTCTCTCTCTGCCCGCACGTTGCCGGTAATAGGTCGCCTACTAAATTTCGATGACGTCGACGATTGGCAGTAGTATGACGTAGAAGTGGCTACCTTAAACACAGGCCCTCACTTAGTAGTCCCGTAAACAATATTATGAGTTTATACCAACGACAAATTTATACTAGTTTAAGCACGCGTTATCAACATAAAGGTGGCAAAGCAAAGGAAACGTGAACGTGTCGTTACAAGCAACAGGGGGAATGTAGGAGCAAGCCACTACTGATACCTCCAGTGCTCATTGGAAAAATGGCACGTTTGGCATGAATAACAATGGCCCGTTACGCTTGACGTCAACGATTAACGATACTTGTCTTGTCCGCTTTTATTCAAGTCCTACTTCAAGATTAGGCTAATTAAAGGTATTAATACAATTTTTACAGCTCTTTAGATTCCTACTGATACACTAATGTAAGAACACTTATTAACTATACCGTTATTCATTGCACATGCGCTAAATTGCTTTTGGTGTAATTTTACTACAGACCTCAAAAGCAAGGTTTTGAAAGCACGTCATTGTATTGATTATAAAATCATTCATTGGTTTCGATTCACCGCACTTAACACTAGATTACCGCACCGCACCCATCTCCCACCGGATCCAGTTAAGTATGCGACAGCTGCGACTTTATGTTGCGCGACGTTGCGACGTGTGTGGCATAGAATTTCCAATTCGGGGAACCGTTTTTAATTCCGTTCAGGCAATGAAGACCGGGCGCGACCACGTGTGCATGGTATCGAATAGCGGAGAATAAATCACCTTCGGCTCTCCAAGCCAAATAGAAAGGCATGCGAAACCGGCGATATGCCCGAATCCCAGCTAATGCTAAATTATATAGGGCGAAATGCGACTGAGTTGGTCACGTTAGCTGGCTAAGAATTCCTTCGGCCGTTTTTATACGTTTCCGACTCCGAAGCCGGGCAGAGCTGGACAGCAGTGTGCAAATGGGTAAATTCTGATAAAAATTCACATAAGATATCCTCGTCCGAGCATCGCGCCGAACCGATTCCCGATCCCAGCTATGCTAACGGTATGGCGAATGGGCCGCAACGTTGGTCGACGATTGACTGATAGATTCCTTCGGAGACGTTATATACGTTTCGCACTGGAACCGGGCAGGCTACGCACGTGTGCATGGTAAATTGAATATAAAAATATTCACTTCGCATCATCAGCATCGCGCCGACGATCCCGGAATCCCAGCTATGCAGATGTAATTGGCGATGGCGGCTGACAACTTGGTCGGCGTTGACTGGCAATAGAATTCCTGTCGGACAGGCCCGAGGGTTTGTATCGTTTCGACTGAAGAGCCGGGAGGTGACGCACGTAGGCATGGTAAAATCTGATATAAAATTGCACTTCGCTTCTACCAAATGAGCACGACAGTCGCGCGAACGATTCGCCCCAACGGAATCCCAGCTATGCTACCTGTAGGGCGAATGGCGCTGAACGTTGGTCGACTTGACTGCAATGAATTTCTTCGA